AAACTTAAAAGATTGTTTATATCTATTTTTATAGACGTTGGTTATGGTTATGGAATTTTGTAAAAATTCAGAGATATCTGCATAGATTTGAGACATTTAATTTCTTTAATGATATTACGTATTCAAAGTTTTAGGACTAAATAGATTATTGCTTCGATTATTAAAATCAACTAAAGCAAAACATTTTTGTAAGTCTAATGTCCACGAAATCCAAATTTTTATGCATCCCTAGAGGTCATCTTAGTTTAATCTTGACCGCACTGACTTTAATTTTATCATCTTTGTTTGTCAATCAGAAACTATATTGCTCGTACTGTTGTTGCTAAAGTCACACTAAATTCATGTTGTCGTTGTTGTTGTTAATGTGATCTTCAATGACAAGCGGCTGTTGATACGACAAATCAATCCATATTGGTTATATCTTAAGTGGAGCACGATGTAACACTATACTAACGATTAGATTATGTGCATTGAAATGGAGTTCCGCATCGACTGTATCACTTATGTTACAGTATAGGTAAGAGCGATGTGCGGAGTGATCGTATCTAATATTTAACTAAATTAAGTAAGAGTTGCACTGTAAGAGTTCTATATATATCTGAGTTGTAGTAGTAAAGTATGTGTAGCCAAACACTTCCTCATATTTATGTTGCGTATAAGTTGTGGCATTAAATTAATAGAATGAAATATTTGTGGTTGAATTATATGAGTATTTTTTGTATTTGTAGTGAGAAAGGAAGTTATTTTAAAAAGTAAATTTTTTTTTTTAAATAGTTGACAACTAGATCGTAAAATAACTGCAATTACAAATTTTATTTCTAAGCACATCTCTAATCCGTAAACATTTATAGCCATATTTTAAAAAATATATTTTAAGAAAGAGATTTTTATAACCCAAAGCACCATAAATTTTATTGAATCTCAAAGCACACTTACCATTTGGTGCCATTAAAGATATCGTTGAGCCACCATTACAGACCTTATTGCTCACATTACCATTTGGCGTCAGAGAAATGCCACCATTCTTACTCTTTTCATATATGCAACTGCTTGAAGATGACGCATTGCGTTGTTGACCCATACTTTGATTACCGAATTTCTGATAGTACGGCTGAGTGACAGCTATATTATTGCTGCTGCCACCATAATTCACGTATAATGTGTTGTTGCATTTGTTGTTGTGAAAGTGTGTAGGCAATGCCGCATGACGTTGTAAGGTGGCATCATTGAGTGATGCCACTGACAATGCCGAGGGTGTTTGACGTCCACTTGCATTATGCGCTGGCGTTAAATGCAGTGGTGAGTGTGTATGTGATGAGGCGCCACTGTTACTGCTATTCACCGTGCTGGCTACGGATGGCGCACGTGGAGGCGTAAGACCACTTGTGCTTAGATTTGTGCAGCTGAGTATCATGACGGGTGAGTCATGCAGATCAGGCAGTGAAGAAGAAATTGCTGAACTGCCTGCTATCGTTTTGGTAAATTTTGAAGTACATGTTGCCACTGCTGAATTGTTGATATGCTGTGAATGGTGCGGAGATGAAGTAGTGCTATATGTATCAATGGATTTGCGTGTTTTGAAGAGACGCATAATTGTGTCTTCTAACAATTTGTAATTAACTGCTTCTCTTGGACTCCTTTAAATTTGTTCCAACTTCTGCAGTCAAACAATGAAAAATAAGTGATATCTGTAACAATAAAGAAATCTAATTAATATAAGTTACCAAATAATATAAAATCTTAAGCATGAAAACCAAGATGTGATTGCTTTCTCACAAATAATAGAGATTAGTGCTTTAAGTTTTAATGAAATTGAAATGTACTCGTATAAAAATATTACTATTTATGTAGACTTAACTACTGGAAAATGCTTAAATATAATATTTAACTATGAATGATATTAGTGTTTATACTAATATTGATTAGAAATTACAAAAATATCATATCGAAGTTGACTATCAAAATTAAATTAATACTTCTCTGGATACAGGACAATGACGATTACAAAATCTATAACGAGCAGAGTGAAACTTACGCCCATTTCATCTATCCGTGCAGCCCAATTGCCAGGAACACTAGTTTAGCTGACGAATACAATTCGGCTTTTATTGCACAGAATGAGGTCTGGAATTTTGTTGGGTTTGCCAATTATTTTTTTTGGTACGGGCTAGTTTAGGAGATTCTGCGCAGTGATACTACAATGGATCTCGTAGATCATAGTGTACCACTACTCTTTCTAATAATAAATGAATTTTTTTGTATAAAATTATGAAATTAAAATTGATCAGTATTGATGTTTTATACGAGTTTTTTTTGCAAAATATTTTTATAAAAATTGTTTGCATGGCCAATAATTGAAACATTCTCGATGCAACGCAACATGTTGCGCGAAGTTTTGCTTTTATTGACAACCACAACTTGTTGCAAAAACCTGTTGCGAAATTGATTTTCGATTTTTGTTTCGTTTTCTGTGTAATTTTGACAGCAGATTCACGTCATAACTAAAAATCTCAATCTCATTGAAAGTGAAAACCTGCTGCGAACGTTGATCTGAAATACTCGACTGCTATTTGCTAAATTTGCCAAGTTGCATGGGATTTCGATATGTTTTTCCATTTAAGACACTTTCTTGTCAGTTTGCGCAAAAATTGGATATGAATCTGAGGTGTGGCACTCAAACTGAGTTTTAATCTTTTTAATAATATTTTAAATATTATATTTAAACCAAATGTATTTTATAACCACAACACAACAAAAAAAAATGTTTAGGAAGATATATTATTAGTTTGATTATTTCCTTCGCTTATGCCTAAAAATTTTTATTGTATCTCAAAAGTTGAGTTGAAAACAAAGTGTAGGTGTTTGTAAATAGTTGTCAACGCATTGTCACGAAATTAGCAATAGTTTTATAGTTTTTGTTTGTAAGACAAATTTGGTAAAAGACTTCTGTCAAATTGGTACATTAGAGGTTTTTTGCAATTTTTTTTTATTTGCATCCTTGACTTTTTAGGTCACGAAGTAAGATTCGATTTCTTTGCCAAACCAAAATAATCATTAATTCTTATTCGATGGCATAAACTTGGCCCAAAATATCAAGCGAACTTATAAATTTATTAGATTATGGTAATAATTAAATTATATTTATAAGGAAAAGTTTGACAGAGGTACAATTTTTATAAAAAAAATAAAGTAGGAGGATGGTATTGGACTAAGATTTATATAGAATAGCCAAACACAAGATTCAAAAAACAACAAAAATTAATAACAAATAATTTGCACATGTATATTGAATTGATTTAGAACCTTTTACAGCTTAATTTTAAGTAACATATTGTATATATACGATATGTTATGTATACATATAGTATAAATCAGTTATATGATTTTAAATTTTAAAACAACATTTATACGAGTACATGTCAGGCCATTCAGACTATTGAGAATAATGTGTGGACGAGTTTGTATGCATTGTAAGAGAAGTTAGATGCCATATGGTTCAAAAATATTTTTAAAAAAGTCTTTTGTTAGTCAATGTGACTATTTGTTGTTAATTTGAACTTTGATCTTCGTTTATATATAATAAAAAAAAAGTAAAAAAGAGTAGGTAGCAACTTTGAACATAGATTTTTTCTAGATCCAATTAGATTATATCGCAAATGGGTAAACTTATATAGAATACCATTGCACTATATACAGTTAAAGCTTTCTATAGCGAACCTTCCTATAATGAATGCCTCTCTATAACGAAGTTTTGTTGAAAACACAGCGATTTTCAAATATTTGAACCGCTCTATAGCGAACCTCTCTATAACGATTCTTTCTATAGCGAATTCCTCTCTATAAAGAAGTTTTTGGCAGGCGCCCACGACTTCGTTATAGAGAGGTTTGACTGTATGTACTTCACATAAAATTAAACTATATATATATAAATACTCTATGTAAATAATAAGTAAATGATTTACAATAAGGTTGTCTGTGTCTGTGTGCAGGATTCCGAAACTACTGTAAAGTTAAATGTATCTTTAAAAATGCTTTGTAAAAGTTTTTCCAGAGAAACTGTTTTTAATTTTACCCAAGTTTTTCATTTTTCTTTTTTTTTCTATTTTAGGTTTTATTTTACTATTGAGTTTTTCATTGGCACTGTTGTTGTTATTGTTTTTAATGTTTTTGTTATTCTTAAGTTGAGTGCTCAAGTATATATGGCAGTAAATACCGATTTCGGTTAAAAGTAAAATAAATTACTACTACCCATATCGTTTTTATTATTATTGGAATCTGAGCTCACAAGTACAAATGTCAGTGAATATGTTAGAGAAATGTAATTTATATCCTATGAAATTAAAAATTATTGTTTCACAAAAATCGTGTATAAAATACATTAATTGGACTAATCACTTTGTAATTTTGCAATTTCAATTTATCTTTAAAATAATCGTAAGTTGAGTATCTAAAAATAACTTCTAAATGCATAGATACAAATATTTTTATGAATGCAAATACTTGAAGGTACTGAAAGTACTGAAGGTTCACATAGAAATTGCAAGAAATTATTTGACCGTTGAGAAACCAGAAAATGTTAATAGGTTGGCGCTATTAACATTTTAGCACAGATTTTCCAGTGCGATAGTGTTGGCCAAATTGGCTGAAACTATAGTTTACAACGCGATACATTCGTGTGGAAATATTATTTGTTTTTCATACCCGGCGAATAATTAACTTGCTAATGTAATTATATGCTCCAATGAGTCAAAGTGTTGCATTTTCCACAGCCCACTTTTGTTGTGTTCGCAGCTAAAATATTTTGCTTCAATTTAGTAGATAAATTTCTGATTTGACTATGAAATTATAGTCTCATTAAATGTTGAGAGCACGTTATTGACAGGAATTCAAGTTTTTAAATATGGTAATTATACATAAATTTGAGAATTTGTGATTGGCAATAGTCAACAGTTTTTTTTTTTTAATTTTGATTACTACTTCATATATGAATAAATGACATTTTTCACTTAATACTCGTAATGTTGAATAATAAAGAATTTAAATATTATTATAGTAATTCTGATAGAGCTCAAAACTGGGAACTTAATCTGATGAAGCTTGTAGGTTTTATAGGGAATAAGAATAAGACCTTAAAAAACGTGCTTGAAATTTATATTTCATAACCGATGAACAAATAAAACTTTATAATGTAGGTTGAATATTACAATTAGAAAATTAGGCTTGGAACAATACTGGAAGGGGCACAATAGATCTCTAGGACACAATGTAAATTTAATAATAATAATAATGTTGGCAGTGGTACCAATTAAAAGTGGTACAACGTTTTAACTGACTTATTAATTTCTAGATTATGTGGTATTATAAAAAGAAATATGATCTGTTATAATAAGATGAAAATAATTATAAAATATATGTAGAAGAACTTATATATTCAATTATTTTATTAGAATATAAACTTGTATTCGGTTATTTTGTCATTATAGTATCAACATTCGATTTACCTGTTAAAGTTTTCTGCTTTCTTTATAATCAATTATTACGATTACTCATTTATAAAAAATGTTTATTTCCTAATTCCAACAATCCCTAATAATTACTTATAAATAAGAAAAATTCCACTCATATCAATAAAATTTCAATTGCTCATTAATTAAATAATATCACTTGTATCCAATAAAAATTGATTGCCATAACTGCTCATTTAAATAGCAATTTTGCAATATCTGCACAAAGAGCATAAAGAATCCAAATCACATACAGAAATAAGGCCAATAATTTCAAATTAAAACCCAACCAGCCTATTGCTCCACCTTGATGTCAACATTTAACCATAAAACCCCCTGAAGTATTCGGTTGTTGTAGTTCGTGCAGTAGGCAGCTTGAGTGTGAGCTGGCGAATATGCCGCAACCGCCTAAATCCAGACTCGAAAGACAAATACATATGACGCGGCGGCTCTAGCGAAACAGCATGAACGGTAGCCCAAGCATATAAACACAACACAACTGAATATTAGTTTATGGGCGCACATCAGTTAGGAGACTGTCTGCCACTACTGTGCAGTTAGTTTATTAACGCCCTTAAGGCAGCAACATGTTGCTACCTTTCTTGCTCCTGCTGGCACATTCAACATAAACATAAACATAAACAAAATACGTAGAAATGCTCACAAATTGCGAATTTATCTTAAATGTGCAAACGAAATGAAATATATTTCAGCGTACACTAATTAATGGACATTTTTAGGGCCATCATCAACGTCAGCATCATAAAGGGCAGCAGATAGTCGTACAACGCCATGCATAAAAATGCCACATTATTGAGTCAACATAAAGAATTCCTTAAGTGAAATTGTATCTGAAATACAAATCGTTTAAGATTCGAAAAATGTCACATTAATTAAAAGGCAAACGAGATGTGGGTAAGCAAGTAGGTCGTTATGCAGCAGAAAAACATTTTGAAATAAAATTGAATGACAAACTTAAAGTTAATGCAAAACTAATAAAATTTGAGAAATTCCCAACTTCTTGACAAGTAGAAAAAAATAAGAATTATTTTAAACAAAAAAAAAAAACAATATAACCGCGTCTCTT